TTTGATCACTCTTCATTGTTTTCGTGGTAGAGTTATCATTTATTATTATATCTTTAAATTAGTTCATTATACGCATTAGTTTAATATTATTATTTATAGTTTTGCTTATAATTACTTGATTATTTTTACTTAATATTAATTTATTATTTTTCTTATTATTACTTTATTATTTTTCTTTTATTATTATTTTTCCCCCTTCTGGAGCGCCTTTTAACAATGTTCCAGCACTTTTAATTTTAAAAATTAGGCTCTGATTATACATCATATAAATAGCATCAATTGATGCTTTCAGATATAATTCCAATTTAGGTGTCTGCATTTAGTGTGTATTATGGTAAGTTTTAGTGTATATATCTCCCATTTATCTTGTATTATTATTTGTACTTAAAAAAAACTAAGTCTGGTTTTCCATTGGTAAGGGTACTCAGTTCTTGTAGTGTAAAGGTCCTCAAACTGAGCCAGACGAAAACACTGGCTAGAACACTTCAGTGAGGACCACCAGCAAGTGGTCGTCGAATCGTCGTGAAAGCGTCAAATCCCCTGGTATTCACAACCTGTTCACAACGCTGCCCTCGCCGGCCTCATCCGCTACTCTTGGAGACTGACTTAGGGATGGCCATCTACTCTTATTAACGCAAAGGAAAACGTCCCTTCAGGCTGGAGAGGAAAAGGGTTCGTTTGGTTTGTACATGTAGATCTTCAGCATGACATTCGAATAAGCGTCTGCTCTTGTTAGACAAAACGAAAAACGTTTCATCTCATCAGCTCCAAAGAAAGGGCTTACCAGCAAATTTCCTCTCTGTACCGTTGCTTTATTCTCTCGGTCCGGGAAATTTATTCAATGGCGAGTCACAAAGAATTTCAAAAAAAAAAAAAAAAAAAAAGGCACGTTAAATAATAATAAACAAAACGTAGAATTGAATTAAGAAATTTAGAAATTACGGTCTGAGCGCGGAACTAAACCAAGTTAAATTTCGCGTCTTCTCTAGCTGAAAATGCTTGGCCATTCCTTGGAACCCACATTCGAGAAACTGTTTTCACGTTCTCGAGCCTTCGAGAATTCCTCTAATCCATTCGAAGCTTCTCGAAACTTAGATTGATAGTCGATTTGGAGTCACTTTAACGGTGAATGCTCATAGCGATAATATTGTGATGTCTTTGAGATTCTTCCACGAAATTTCCATGCATTTTATTTCTTAGCGAAGTTTACCTGTGTAGCTTATAATGTTCATTAATAAATATAATAGACTGTATAAAATCGCGACATGTTAAAATGAAATTCTATAAATTAATTTGTAAAGAACTTGGTAAGCCCCATTAGTCCCTCCTGTTCACATTACGGCTACGGCAGTCAGGGTTACTAACCACTATACTGGCTAAGCAGTAAATTGAAAATAATAACACTTCTAAAATAAGGAATCTGCTAGATGAGTTGATTCTAAACACGAGTCTGCGAGTCAAAGAGTTTGCTCAACGCTGATGTAGGTCGAAGCTCTTGGGAAAATACTTCCAATGGCAAAAATGAAGCCAGGAATAAATTTTCTTTGCAAAAATTCTCGCTACAATATGTTTCAGAAAAATCATGAAATTCAAGTTATGATTTACCATTGAATTGAACTGAGCACCAACTTATTATTCTTATTATCATCCGGTTTAAAGAAGTAGGTTTCATTAGAAATAAAATTTCTAACTTACAACTAGAATTTAGTAGAGCTAAGTTATCAATACATTAGCCTGAGCTAATGGTAAATAAGTCCTACAGAATAAAAATCTGATGTGTACAACATGTGACCTCCTTGTACAGCTTATTAAATATTTTTTAGAACAACAAAGAACTAATACTAAATATTAATACATATTTATTGTTAGACTAGCATATTTAAACTATTATTAGATATGTAGTTAGGTTTCGTTATTTATCGAATATAAATTCTTTTTTAAACTTGGCATTACCGAAACATGAATATTTTCGGTCATTTAAAACACCTTTTTAATTGTAAGTATATCTCTGTGGCCAACGAATGAGAAAAAAGGAGTGTAACGGATTTTTGCAGACCCAAAGTAAATTTATGGTAAATGTCCAACTATGATACGCTATTGAAGACTGTTAATTCGCCTTTTTGATAGATTATGTTCCTTGATACGAAACCTCTTTTTTTTTTGTTTGGCCAATATCTTAAACCACACTGACACGATATACTATTAATTCCCCAAGAATTCAAAACAGAAACCAATCTTTTAGAATCGAAGGGTGAATTTTATTAATAGGGAAGAAACCGACTTGAAAATTAAATTTCTGAAGAATCCGTGCAATTTTTAGCTAACAAAGGATAATAGGAAGCACGAAAGGTCATTAATATTTTCTAACAGTGGAATGTCTTCTTTGATGGGAATCTGAAAATTTTTTAACGGCTTTATCAATATCACGGGAGAAATCCCCGGTCAAATCAACTGCTCTCAAATAATTAAGTTCATTGGTAAGCAAAGATTCAGAGGAACAAACTTTAAGCGCGCTGAATACATAATAGTAAAAGAGCCATTTTTTGCTTAAACAGGGTGCACGACTGGCATTGGGTGGTAAACAACAGCAAAGGGTTTACAGTACCAATACTGCTAAAGTCATTTTCATTGCGGATTATAGAATATCAAGGAAAGGAGGGATTTTGGATTCAATTTCAAGAGTGAACTGGATTGGATCAATTGATTCAAATTAGATAGAATCTCGGATAAATATCCTCTTATAACCGTCAAAAAGCGCGAAAGTGTCGTCTACATACCGAATCCAAAGACGAAAAGATAGTTTATCAATAATAAATAATTTCAAGTCGGTTTTCTCCCCTATTAATAAAATTCCCCCTTCGATTCTAAAGATTGCGTTTCTGTTTGAATTCTTGGGAATTAATAGTATATCGTGTCAGTGTGGTTTAAGATATATTGGCCAAACAAAAAAAAAAGAGGTTTCGTATCAGGAACATGAATCTTATGTCAGAAAAGGCGAAATTAACAAGTCTCCAATAGCGTATCATAGTTTGGACATTTAACCATAATTTGACTTTGGGTCTGCAAAAATTATCCAAAAGGCTTCTTCCATAGGTGTAAATTGGATTTTCTTGAGGCTTTTTATACACAAAGATTTAGCATGTTTAGTTAATGATTTTAAGTCCAATCCTGTCCTTCCTAATGCCTTTAAATTCTACTATCTTAATTCAGTTACTATTTTTGCCGATAGATGGCGTTACCCTCCTCGCGTTTGGTACTACCAGAGGGTATAAAAATCCGTTCAGTGGTTGTTTTCCATTATTCGAAGTTTCAGATTTTGATGTGAAGGTGCATTTGCCCCTCGCTCCCTATTTTGAAACTTCGCTAATTTTCCTTTGTACTTTGTGTTACATGTGTGATCAGATAGCCTGGCTCAATAAAGTAGGCGGCCAGTGTAACTCTGAATAAAAATCCGGTTATAAGCACGTGCAGTGCTGATAAGGACCACGTGTTTCTGAGACTCCTTCCCCTTTATTTTCTTCTTTCTGGGTATTTCTTTCTCCTGATGAGGAGGGACCTTTAGCTGCCCTCAAAATCGATTGAGTGTTCAATATACTTATGCTAAATACAAGGTTGTTTTACGATTTTGATTGTCACATTAGAGTGTTTCTCTTCTAGTTAGTCTAACCTGTGTATATTATGGGGACGGCACAGTTTAATAGCAGTTAATAAAGGGTTTTATTTTAGATAAAATTCAGCGGATATAAATATATATGTAGATATAGATATAGAAATATAGATATAAAAGAATTTCCAAAAACAAAGTATTTTAATGTAAATTCCTTCATTAAATTTCTTATGAATTTTTTTATTCATTTTAATAAAGTATCCTCTAAATAGAATAATGGCATGATATGATTAGTACCGGTATTATCACCTGATAAGGAGTTTCCATTGTCCTTGTTATCAGTTACAGACGATGGTTTCTTTTATGCTTAAAAGCATTCATTGCCATTCACACAAAAATCCTTTCCGTCAAGTACTGTAAAGAAGATTTCAAATGGCCAATGATAATTTGACAGCAATATTTTGCCGAGGTGAACTTCGCCTGGTAAGATTAAATTTGATTACAAGCGTAATATTTTAAAAAATTGATAATTTGTTTTATTCCATCCTGATATTAATCGGAACGTTCTCACAAAAAATTAATATTATCTTTCTCTATATACATATATTATAAGTGAAAAATTCATTAGTTCATTATTATTTTAAATGCGATATTTTTTAGTGTTTTACCATGCTGATTATTTTATGCGCATATAAAGTTCCCAAAGCCCAAGCCAACGACAGGGACAAACCTTGCCTCGGTCGCCGCTTTTTCGGATGGCCCAGACTTTCCTTTCCCATCGATGACAAATAGCTGATAGCTTTGCGCTTTGTATCGATTACGAAGCTTCGATACTTTGTTTACGTTTTATGTGGAATTGTGGTAAGATTGTATATGGAAATCTTGCGGAATTGATAAGGACCACTCTTCATATTTAATTTTTTTTTTCCTTGCTGTATACGAGAGTGGACGCAATATGATAAATCTCTATGCTACAGTCAATTATTTGCATTATTCGAATGAATTCATCTTGAGAACTTTAAAAGTCTTAATAAACAAAAACTTACTCATATTGCTAATACAAAAGTATTGATATGCTTTGTCCAATTCTCTTGTTAATAAAAACAGCAATTGTGCATGTAATGACAGTAAAAAATAGTGAAAATTTATATATGTCTGTATTGTTAGCCTAGGTAGTATGATATTATAAAATAAATTAGAATCTACTGAAGTAATAATTACATATGTTAGAACACAAGAAAAGAATTAGAATTTTTATTTATTTTAGTGACCCGTATTTTTTTTTTTTTTTTTTTTTTTTTAATTATGTTCACAGAGTTCTTTTTTAAGTTTCCTCCAAACAGCAGAGATGCGTGACCTAAATTTTGTACTGAACAACGGCTGTGTGAACAACACAAAATTATGTTCAAAGAAAAGAAATTCATAAATTCTGCATTGCCTACGATTGCCTAGTTAAAAAAAATCATGTTTTCCATTTCTCCACATCGAAAAATTATACCGGGGGTGGGAGAAACACCACTTCACTTGGCATTTGATGTTTTATATCAATAAAAATCCCATGGTTTTAACCATTGATTCTAATTTTAATCCCTCTTCATTGTTAGCTTTTAAGGAAATTTGCTTCTTATTTGCATTTTTAGTCTCTTTCTGTCAATAGTGGTATTAAGGATTTGGTTTTCATCATTTAACCATACTCTCCAGTTTCTTTCTGTTGCTTCTCTTTCCTTACACCCAGTGTGCATGCCGTGCTGAATTGCATATTTCAGATTCAAAATGTATAGACAGAAATCTGTACCAGGACGACAAAAGTGGTAATTTAACAACATTGGCATCAATTATCCCCTCCCTAAGACAACCACTTCCGTAAGAATATTTTTATAGCAGCTGTGTCTGGCTGTCTTACAGATGGTTCACTGTATTTTGTGATTTAAAATTTATTTTAAGCTCGTTATAATACTGATGCAATTTAAAGTTTTTTTCTTAGTTAGTTCAAACAACCCATGTTATGGATCAAAAAGTAGTATCTTAATGATTATTAGTCATATTATTAAAAATTTCAAAATGGCTTTTGGAAATTTTCCTTCCTTACACAATGATTTGCAGTTTGGCAAAAAATCTTTCACAAAGTTGGTCTTTACTATGGGCAAGTATTGAATTTTGTTTCCGAAACGATAACCAGTAATTTTGTTTAGAGTTAAAACTCATTTCTATGGTATATGTAAATCTTTTTAGTTTTTATTATATTTCAAAAGTTCCTTTTCTTATGCCATAAGGCATGTGTAAAATAATCTTATTTCCTTGTATTATTATTATTAAACCATTCAGAAGAAGCCTTTCTGATAATTGATCACTGAAACTTACGCCGTACCTTTCTGTTAATTAGAAAATAACTTTGGATAATAAAATAAATGTATTAGAAAAGTATCATATTATTAAAATATTTTTTTAAATATATTAAATTAATGTATTAGAAATATCTGTAATTTAAAGCAAGCTTTCGTTCTTCAAGTACATGTCCATTTCCGAATACCCAAAGGCTAATTCCATCATAATAACTTATCTTTTACCCGGTCATTATTCAGCGAAACCTTTCTATTATGAAAATTCTATGATCATCCTTTGTAATAAAGGCCCAAGATACAACCTCCACCAACTGCGAAATGAACCACCTGTGAAATACATAGCTCTCTTTGTACAGGATCTCTGTGGACTGTTACTAGAAGGCACTAAATAGTATGTTCAAGCACTAAATAGGCTTCCTTATTATTCTCTGTTTGTTATTTAGTGTGTGATATATTTTTGTGTATGTGTATTTGATATGTGTACATATATATATATATTTGTGCCTACCATTGGAAATAAAAATATATGCATTTACAAATCTGAGTTATTAATCACATTAAAGGCTGTTTACACCTTTCATTCCAAAACAGATATTCAAATTAAATACGTTAAGGCAATTTGTGTTTATCTACATTTGTTTCAATAATAATGTTTTTGTTGGCATTAATTTCGCTAAGTAATTTAAACTTGAGGTTGTTTAAGGCCATTTTTTATCCTATTCATTTATTGAAATATTTACATTTACTACTTCTTATATATTAATATTTACATTTATTACTTCCCCCCATTAGATAATCCAAGAATTTTATATATCTTATAATTTATGGTATAGGCTTGTATATATGCAATATGAATTTTTTTTATTAATTTTCCAGAAGAAAAAAATTCTTATCTTCTACTTGTTATCTCATTATCGAATTTTTTTATAAGGTATTTCTCCTGCCTTCGTAGCATGCCTCGGCACATATTCGAGAGGTCCATGGTTTTAGTCGCGGAGAGCGCATTGCTCGTTTTTCACATCTCTCAGCTTCCAAAAAAATCCTAATGTCTCTACAATGTCTTCTTCAAAATAAACAAATAATCTGATGGAGTGAAAATATTTTGGTCATTAAAACTTTTTAATCACTGCTGTTTACATCTACATTTCTTTTTTCACATAATTTGAAGTTTTCAAGTAGTTTGAAGGTTTTCAAACTAAGTTTCAGAGAAATTTTAGATATCGTGCAACTCCTCTCGGGCATCTTCAAGTTAAAATCAAAATTTAAACTATTTTTAATATCACTGGACATGCAATAGAATAAAAATATTTTTTTATTTTAAGTTTTTGTTACAAAAAATATTAAGCAGATCTGTTTTTATGATTAACATTATAATTAAATAATGATTTTCTTTTCACTTTCTGCATAAAATGCACAAATTTTGTATTTCAATTCTTTTTTAACATTTATTTTTTTGAGGATGGAAATGCTTCTCTCTAAAAAATTACAATTTTAGAGTTTTTTCTGAATTTACAGATTTGAAGACAGTTGGATAGAAAAGCCACAATTTTTTAAATGGAGGAATAAATACAACCCTGGCTTTTGTTATGTTTTATGCATTTAATAAATTTCCGCCCGACTGTTTTTATTAATTCTACCTAACACAATTAATCGATACGTGTTTCTAATATAGAATTTTAGCATCAATTCTACATCATAACACGAGTAATCTTTTTTTAATTGAATTTTATCAATATTAACAAAATACTTTGGCACTATGAACCGAGAATTTTTTTCCTTGACTTTTATCTTTTAATACTTTAGGAACTGGTCATTGATTTACATCTATAATAAAAGAAATAAATGGCTTGTATGAGTTTTAACATATTTGTTAAAAATGCAATAAACCTTCAGCTCCTTTGTTGCATGAATAATGTTGAAACTCCCTGTTAAGTATTTTTTTAGCATCTTCTATGTAACAGTATAGACTCCATGATTAATTCCTTAAAATTGGAAGTATCAGAAATAGATGTATGTTAATATGTAATTGTCTTCTGCATTAACTTAACAAAAATAAAAGTGTGAATATCTGAATGGAATTATATAGGAAAGAGTCTACAGGACGCTATGTTGTCCATGATGGTCATTCCACTATACTGGAAAGTATTCAAATCAAACAATAAGTGCAGGAAAAGATTCAGTAAGAGTATTACTCTCTTCTGAACAAACAATACATTTGGCTGTAGTTGTTCCATATGATATTCTTTATCAACGATATCCCAAAATCTTGGTAAATAACTTTCTAAACCAAGATTTACAGTGTAAAAAAAGTAGTGGAAAAATGTTGTTATAGTCATGTACTGGGCTACCATACATAAAAATTAAGCAGTGTTACAAGTGTTTTTATCTTAACTGCCTGTTACAACCAAATAACTAGCTATGTGAGAAAGAACATGCAGTGTCAGTACAGCTGGATGATCCCTTTTACAGAGTTGGCTAATTTGAAAACAAGTTAACCTGTAAAACTACCCTTCATACTGGTTTGCTTTAGATTCATTTGGTAACAAATATGCCATTTAAGTCTGTACCAATCAATCAATAAACCTTGTTACAAGCAAGGTTTTTGTTTGCAGGGATGCTGTTCATAATTGGCTTTCTTTTGGTGGTATAGCAACAGCGAAGGGAGAAAGATTCCGGGTAATTTAAATTCAACTAACATAGCAAATTCCATTCTTCTGTAACTTAATAATTTGATATAGCTTTATTTTTCAGAATTTTATTCACACCACTATTTCATCCATTGCAGACAAATTCCACAAGTGCATATTTTAAAATTAATTTCACATTTAAAAAAGTATGATTTGTTTATAAATGATTTTTTATAAAAATAAAAATGAGTTATAAACATCATTGTAACTTGGATAAATACACACACAAAAAAAGGGGAAAAAAACATATAAAAATGGTGATGCTGCTGATTAAAAACTGAAGAATTGTTATATGCACATACACATGGTTGATACAGTTTTGTGCATCCTTTGAAATTTGTTATGGTAATATGGTAGGAAAAAAATTTTTTGTTATTTTGTATTAAAATTATTAAGGTTTTGACGGCTATGCTAAGTTACACAAAACAAGGTAACTACAGTAGGAGCTATGTAC